GGTGGTCGGGGGGCTGTCTCCTGCCTGCTGGGAGGGGGCAGGGGTTAAGTTGCCGTCCCCCCACACCTGCCCTAGGGATGTGGTGCTGGGGGGGTAGGGGGAGAAAGGCATACGAGGCATCTGCCAGTGCCCCTCACTCCCCACCTGCAGCCCCCTGATCCCCCCGCCCTGCCAGTGTGCCGCACACCTGACCCACAGCCGCTGCCCCCACAGTTTCCCTCACTCCCGACTCTCCCCACCACTTGCCTGCTGGGCCTCAAGCCCCAGGCTCAGGATCCTCTTCTCCTCCCGCAGCAGGTTGGCAATAACGTTGGCCAGCTCCTCGGGGCACTCCTCATACCTGGCCTGGCAGACGGCAAGAGGGGGGGCGAGGGCAGGGGTTAGTGCCCTGGGCACACAGACTCCCCCAGCCCCTCTTGTGTTCCCCCCCACCCCCCATACCTGCAGATCGTGTTTGGCCTTGCGCAGGTTGTGCTGCAGCACAAAGCCATCAGCCTCAGTGTTGCAGCGCCCATACTGCTCATCCAGTTTTGCCAGCAGTGCATACAGCAGCATACGTGCCTGCGATGAGCCCGGCTCTGCTGCCTGCTGCCTGGGGGTGCAGCATGAGGGGCACGCATGGGGGGGGAGCCCTGCAGGAGAGGGGCACTGCACCTGCATCTACTCCCCTCCATTAACCCTCCCCTGGCCACGGTGGGGGGCAGTTACCAGGCCTGGTCCTCGATCCAGGCGGCCAGGCAATGCCGCACCTCCATGGGCAGCAGGTCGCTGCGATACAGCTGAAGCACCTGCTCCAGGTGGGTTCTGCCCAGCTCCTGCACCTTCTCCCACTGTGCCATGGCTGGGGGGGATATCTGCAAGGGGAGCCAGGGGGGAGGTGCTCAGAGCGCTGCACCTGGTCCCAAGGAGCAGCCTGAGGGTGGGTTGGGGGGGACTGGAGTGGGCTAGATATGCTCCAGAGCCAGGGCAAGCCCCTCCTCATCTCCCCCACACCCCTGGGCATCTGGCAGAGCCACACGTGGGTCCTTGAACCTGGAGCAGGGCATGCATGGCAAGTCTTGCCCCACTGCCTGCCCCCCACCCAGGCTGCCATGGCTGCATGCTGCCAGGCCCGGTCCCCAAGCCAGGAGCAGGGGCAGGAGAATGTGCAACCAGCAGACAATATTAGAGTGCCCAGCTGAATCCTGTGGGCCATGGGAAGGGGTTTTTCCCGTTCCTCCACCACGTGCAGCCATGTCAGGTCCAAAACGTCCCAACTCGCGCCCCCTGCGACCCCTCTCCCCGGCGCCCGGCGGCTCCAGCTGAGCTTTCAACTCTCAATGCATTCAAGCCCTCGTTATGAGGACCTTTCCCGGCTCTTCTGTCTGTTTCCAGAGCCACGAGCAATAAACCAAGGTGCAGCCGCCCAGGGCGAGTGATACTTGCTGCGCCAATAGCTGCTGCGCAGGCGCCCGCTTGCCCCATCAGTGCCTCCAAACTGCACGGAGCCCGGGGACCCGCCACTCACTACTGCCCCAGGCCTTTCAGGTCCCCCCCAGCACGTCCCGTTGTCTGGCAGGTTTATCAGCCCCCACCAATGCCTCCGTTTGCACCCCTGGCTTGGCCTTGCTTCCCTTCCTAGGGGGGAACTGAGGGCATCAAGGGGCATGAGGGCTGCAGGACCTGGCTGGTCGCCCCTGCAGAGCTGGGAGGCCAAAGCCCCCCCCCAGGCCTGTCCCAGACACGTAGGTTCATCTGCTGGGGGAGACAGCCAGTGGTCCAACCCCTTCCACCACCCCCACCCCTGTCCCTGCACTGGGGGGCTCTGACCTCCCACCCACTGCTGGGGCACGACCTGGGAGAGACCACAACCCTCGCAGCCTGGCCCCTCCGTGCCCCCACCTCCTCACCGCTGGGCCTCCGTGGGCAAGGGGAAGCGGGGGCGAGGGGTGCAGAGCAAAGGACAGGGCCAGGGGCGGGAAGGGGAGAAACCCCCTGCAGCCAGCCGGGGGGGTCAAGGGGGCCAGCTGTGGCGGGCAGGTCTTCCAGCGGCTGCAGGAATGGAAACCGAAAGCACAGGCCTAGCCCCCCCCGCGGGCACTGTGCGGGCAGACTCCCCTCTCCACTGCCCGGGGTGGACGGCTGCTCCGTGCAAAGTTGATCCCCCCCTCCAGGGGCAGCCCCCCCCGCAATGACCCGCCCCCAGGGCTGTGGGGGGCAGGAGCCTGGAGCCCCCTGCACCGCACCCCCCGGGCCGGGGCCCCCTGCATCCCCACGTGACCCCGAACCGCGCCCCCTGCCCGTACAAGCCCCACCCTTCACCTTACCTGCCCCGCGCAGCCCACCACCGCCGCTCCCGGACGAGGCCCCTTTAAGGCGCCGTGCCGGCTGTACGCGGCCCTCCCGCCACTGCCCCGGCTCCCGGGCCCGGGGATTGGCTGGCAGGCGAGGCCGGCCACGCCCCCTCGGCGCGGCGGCGGGGGGAGGTGCAGCGGTGGGAGGGAAGAGCAACAGCCAGGCGCGCAGCCGGCTTCTCAGAAATGACGTGAGCGGGGCGGGGTCTGGATGGGGTAGGGGCGGAGCCTACCGGAGGGGGCGGGCCCGGCGCTTAAAGGCCCAGCACCACCCCCGCTTTTTAAATTTTTCTGTTCATCCACAGGCCGCGCCCTCGCGGCCCGGGAGCCCCGGGCTCCGGGCGCCCAAAGCCCCCGTCACCCCCAGCGGTGCACCCTGGAGCAGACGAGAACCCAGGAGCCCGGCTCCCACCTTTGCCCCCCTCCTATGGTGCCACCCAGCGAGAGGACCCAGGAGTCAGGGCACACAAAGTTGTGGTGCCACCCCCCCCGTGGGTAGGAAAACGCAGGAGTCTGGGGGCAGTGCCCACAGCGGGGCAGGGTGGCGGGACACATGGTGGGGAGGACAGGACAGCTGCCCCAAGTGCCACGCCAGAGTCCGGCTGCCCTTCGTGCCCTTGTCTTCCCAGCACTGGGTGACCCAGGTCGTGGTGACCCTGGCAGGCCTGGAGTGGGGGCAACAACAGCTCCATGCCCCCCCCCACCCGAACACACAGCCCACGCCAGGTACCGACCAGGCCACGTTTATTTCCTGGAGTAGAAGGCGCTATCGTAGGAAAAGGTCACGGGGCTCAGGCTGGGGCTGGGGGTCAGTGCCACGTCCTGGGTGAAGTGGCTGACCAGCGCGCGGACCCCGGCCTTGAGCCCCGAGCCCAGCACCACGTTGGCCACAAAGCCGCTGGTGCCGCCCGTGAGCAGTGCGATGGTGTCGAAGCCCAGGTCCCAGGCCAGGTCCACGGCGCGCTCCTCGGCTCGCAGCATGCAGCTGTTGTAGGCGTAGTACAACCCCGTGCCCATGTTGTAGAAGGTGCTGACCACGGGCAGCCACGACACCACGGCGTGGACCTGCGGCTCTGTTTCCCCATCACAGGCCTCACGTCGCACCCGGTGCCTGCCTGCCCGCTGGCACTGATGCAGCCAGGCCCGGGCCCCAGGGGTGGCCACAAAAGAGGCACCTTGTGGCCCCACAACACGATAGGCGGTGGTGCCGTAGGGGGCCACGCCAGCACATGCGGGGCCCAGGCGGCTGCAGGCGGCAGTGGCGCCTGGGAAGGTGAGGTGGACACGGCCAGCAGGGCCCTGGAGCTGGACGCCAGCCAGAGGAACTAGCCCGGAGCAGCGCGCAGGCGCCGCGCTCCACAGCTGCCCCAGCAGGGAGAGCAGGGGGGTCCAGCCCACGTGGGGCAGCTCGGCCATGCTCATGAGGAGGGCATCAGCATCGGGCACCTCCAGCATCGCATACAGCTCCAGCACCAAGGCTTCAGCTTCAGGGGCACAGCCGGCGCCATGCAGGGCTAGAGCCAGGGCGGCGCTAGCCAGGGCCCGGGGCAGCGGGGGCATCTCCGTGGAGCCCCGCAGGGTGTGGGGCAGCATGTTGCTGCAGGAGACTCCCATGGCTGCAAGCCTCCTCTGTGGGGGCAGCCGCTGCGAGAGGGAGGCGAGGAGCAACCGGGCTGCGGCCTGGGGGGAGTCGGAGGGAGCTGGCACAGGGGTGCTGGCTGGGTCGCGGGGCTCAGCGGTACCCTGTGCTGGGGCAGACTTGGGCAGCACGTGGCCCTGGAGGCAGTGGCATAGCAGCAGCAGCAGGAGGGGGCGCAGAAGTGACTGCAACATGGCAGAAGGGTCCCTGTGCAGCTCTTGCACCCTGCAGAGGGAAGGGGTCACAGCACCAAAAGCCAAGACCCCCACCCCACCAGCCAAGCAGGGTTTAAATACCCCCCAGCCCTGGGCAGACCAGGGACTCGTGGAACAGGACTGCCACCCAGCACAGCTCAGGGCTCATGGCTACAGCTGGGGTCTCCCCCTAAACCCTTGTGTGAAGCCCTCATGCACATGGCGCACCAGCACGGCCGTAGCAAGTCACCCAGCGCGCTGTGGGGCCCGGCCCAGTTGCATTTCCACCGGCTGCTTCAGGGTGTGGGTGGGATACGGAAGGGGGTCCCGGCCCCGGCTGGCATGGGGTGGGGGTAGGTGGGAGGCGGTCTCGTCCCCAGCTCACCTCTCAGCTGTCATGCGCTGGTGTTGGTGCCGAGCTGGGCCGTGTGGCGCTGCCCCTGGCAGCCCTGGTTATATGGGGGGTGGGGGGGAGCACTGACCTGTTATCACCCATTGCGACACCACTTCCCAGCAGCCCCCCCTACCCTGCTGGGCAGACAGACCCAGGGCTGCTCCAACATGGGTTTATTTAACTATGAACATGGAGAAAAAACAGGACTTATCAAATAGTCTCTGGAATAAAAACAGAATAAAAAACTGACAGTAAAGGGTGGGGGCAGAGCCCTCAGTCTTCATCCTCATCCTCGATGTGCAGGTGCTTCCTCCTGCCGGATGCCGGCTCCTGCTCCCTGGGGTCCCCCCAGGCCGGCTCTGCAGCTGCAAGGAGACCCAGGGGTGGGAGGGCCGTCAGGGGGGTGTGACACCTGCCCCTCCTCCCTCCAGCCCAGCATCTGACCAGCCCCAGAGCAGCAGCGGCCCCCCTTCTGCGGGCTCAGGGGAGGGGGCAGATCTGTGGAGGGGTGCGGTGCCGTTCCAGCTGACCTGGGCTGCCTAGGTCGTCCTCCTCCTCACTGTCCAGCCAGCGCCTGCGCTTGGGTTGGGGCTGAGAGGGGCCAGGGTCTTCCCTGCACAGATAGGAAGAGATTAAGGAGGAGCCACTTCCCCCCCACCCCCCACTGTGGGCAAAGCTCCAGGTGCAAGCAGGAAACTGAGACATGGGCCCAAGGGCAAGGGAGCAGACAGTGACAGAGGTAGGAGCAGGGGGAGCAGGCACCAGGGCCCCCCACACTGGTGTCAGGAAAGGGACCCAGGCGTCTCGGCTCCCCACTGCCCTTCATGCTGCTCCCAGCCCCCACCCTCAGCCAGACCAGGAGGGAACGCAGGCATCCAGGGCCCTGCGCCCGATTCTCACCACTCAGAATCGGACCCAGGTGACTGCTCCGGGCTGGACGACGTGGCCCCTGCAACACGGAGGGGGGTCAGGGCAGGGCAGGGGGGCATAGATCCCAGGGAGCCCCCCGACACCTCCAGCCCCTCACCTGGTGCCAGCTGCTTGCTCTGGGCCAGCTGCAGGGTGCACATGGCTTGGGCTCGCTGCTCCATGTCCCCCACAGCCTCCTCCTCCTCCTCCTCTGCGGGCTCCAGCCCCCTGGTGTCCCCCTGGGCAATGGAGGCGGCCGCCTGGCGCAGCTGCAGGGGACTCAGTGCCGCTGGGATGCGCCAGAAAGACTCCTGGGAAGGGAATGGGGCAGTCAGTGCCAGGCCTGAGTGGCGGGGCTCTGCCTATGCTGCCTCCCTGCAGCAGGGGGGAGGGCCCTACCTGCTCACTGGCTGGGGGCCTCAGGCCCAGAGCACGCAGCAGACGTTGGAACCGTGGCTCCTCCATGGCGTCTTCATTCTCCTCCGAAAGCGGCACCAGCGGCACTGGCTGAGCCAGGCCTGGGCCAGGGAGAGCGGGTCAGTGTAGCACCCCCAGCCCCAGGGGGGGCCAGGACAGCAGGACCCCTGATCCTCCCCCAACATGGAGACCCTGACTCACGGGCCTGCTGGCGGTCGGTGGCAGCTCGGCGCAGGCAGGTCATGAGCCACAGTAGGGGCCCGGTCAAGCCTGGGGGCAAAGGTAGGGGTGAGGGAGGGAGATGCAGCCCCCCATTCCCCAATCCTGCCCCCCCCACTCACCATCCTGCTGCAGGCTCTGCGCCAGCTCCGGGGCTTCCCCTGTGGGCACCAGCTCCCCGACCTCTGCCTCCATGCGGCCTTCCTCCTCCTCCTCCTCCTCTTCGCCCATGTTGCCCTCCTCATCCTCGTCCTCCTGGCGTCCAGCCACAGTTACATCCTGGGGGCGCTCGTCCAGGCCCTGGGGGAGTGGGGTGTCTTTGTTAGAGCCGCATGTTCTGCAATACACACAAGTGTGTGCACAAGCGCATGGCCACAGGCACTGTCCCCACCAAGCTTTTCAAGGACTCGCACGTCCCAGCACACGTACACGTAAGTCAGGCAGCCCACGCAGCGCGCCCCTGTCAACCACCCTCCAGACGCACTGGGTCACGCACCAATGCAGCCAGCTACCTCACGCACATCTTGGACCATATGTCACCTGTACCAGGGCACCTTGCACACCCACTCAAGGCAGCCATGCCATGAATGTGTCATGCCATGTGTGCACACGTACTGCTGGTCTTCATAGCAGGCCATACATGTGGTCCAGGACATGACACCCCCCCACTCCCCTTGTCCATCATCCTAGGTGCTACATGTCTCACACACGCATGTGCACACACACGTACTGGGCCTGGCTTCCTCCGGCGTTTCTTGTAGAGCTCTTTGCGCTCCGACACCAGCCCCAGGCTCAGCAGCTTGTCCATGACGCGGGCCCGGGACCGCCTGGCTGTGAGGTGCCGCAGGATGTTGCCCAGAATATCTAGGAGGCAGGGAGGCATGAGAGGAGGGTCCCTACCCCAGCCCCTGCCACCCCCCACCCCACACTCACCATCCGTGCCCTGAAACTCCTCAAAGAGCCGCTGTAGCTCCAGCTCTTGCTCCTCTGTCCACAGCACTATGTTTGTCCCCTTCCTGCCAAGCCAGGGGGTTCATCTGTCTATCCAGTGTCTGTCCCCCACCCCAACTGAGCAAGGGCATGAGGAGGGGGCTGCACCCACAGAGACAGCAATGGAGCTGGGAGAGAACCCAGGCATCCAGGGTCCCAGCCTCCCCCTGCTCTAACCCCCCAGGCCTCACTCCCCTCCCACCACAGGGAGAAAACCCAGGCGTCCAGGCCGGGCTCTCTGCTCCTGTAACCCCTAGGCCTGGGGGCTGCTGCAGGAGCCAGCACCATGGTAGGACTGCCCTGCTCCCCCAACCCCCGTGCTCACCTGGGTGGGGGAAAGTCGTGGGCACTGTGGGCCAGCCCTAGCTGCACCAGGTGCTTCACCACCTGCTTGCGGGTGCGGGCAGGGCCGGGCAGATGGGACAGAATGTGGCCGATGACATCGTCGTCTGGGAGGGAACAGAGGAGCATTTGACCCCCCCCTGCCCAAACTGCTCAGGGGGCAGGGAAGCTCCTGCAGCACTGGGGGGTGGGAACTGAGGCATAAGGGCCACAGGGACTCAAGGGTGCCAGCTCCCTGCTCTAGCCATGGGACCCAGAGCTGGGGAGGGGACTCAGGTGCCCAGACTCCCCCCAGGCCCTGCCAAGTGTGTGTGTGGGGGGGGGGGGGGGGGG